AGCGCACCCTGGCTTTCTAGTACACGAGTAATTATCCATGATAATTGATAAAGGGACCCTTTGTCTTAAAAAAAGAATCAGAAAACCTTAGTGGACCCAACAAATATCATTATCTAGAATAATAATGTACTGAAACCGCTGAAAAAGCAAAAGATAATCAAAGAAATGACTTTGCCTCAACCTCAAGAACGTTACTTTATTCAATAGAAATCTATAAAAGTTTGTGATAAGAATAGAAAAAAAATCTACTCAGGCCCACCACCCAGATACAGTTTAGTCAAATTTCTCTGATTGCGTGTAAACGCAGGACCAGGAAAGAAAGAAACTTGCAACGTAAAAGATAGATTGTATTTGATTATAATCCTCCTAGATAACCAAAACATGTCCAAATGTTAAAGCAGATTACTCATCTAACCATGAAACTTGTAAATTTACCTTTTCTCAAAAAAAGAAAAAAATTGTAAGAAAACGTAAACAGGAGAACCAAACTAATTAAGTTGTAAGACAATGGGACTAATTTAAAAAAAAAAAAGAAAAAAGAGAGAGACAATGGGACTAGAAATCAAAAGGGCGAAATTTATTGTTAATAAACAGAGTCTATAGCTAAAATACAGGGGAGAAATGAGGGAAGAACAATACCAGCCGAGAAAAGAAAAGGCAACCGGCAAGACCAGAGCTTGAAACCCAACACCAGCATTAAGATTGTGAAATGCAGCGTAATGAGCATTCCCGTTTCGAGACTCAGTAATGGGAAGCCAAGCATCTTGCGGGTTAAGCTTAGTGAGATGACCCACTTCCTCTAAGTAACTCTTCATGTTAACAAAAACCCTCTTCATCGGAGTCCCAATGGGGCTCAAAAACCTCGGCGAAATAAACGACGTCGGCGTCCACCCCGTCGACGACTTCGCCTCCTTTGACATCGGCCTTGGCGACCTCTGCCCCGACGGTGTCTGTATCTCCGGCGTAGACACCCGTGGCGTCGCCGGGATGGATATCAACTCTGTTTCTGGCCTCTCCTCCATGGTTTTTACCGCAAATACAAATGGGTACTCTACTCCTTCACTTTGTTGCTTATAATGGCTAAAGTAGGCAAAGCCGAAGAAGAAATAATGGAGGGTTACCGAGTTCTTTTCCTTTTGTCGCCTTTACTTTTTACCTTTTATGATTACTGCTGTGGTGGAGACGTTCACAGTGGGTCGAAGCTTAAGAATGTCAATGGCAGACTCTGCAGTGCAGCATCAAAGTTTGCACCTTCCTCATCTCCACCGTTGATCTACACGGTCATTGTTTCTATGTGGTTGATGAGATGAAGCTACTAGTTTTGGGTATGATTATGGCACAAAGTTATTAAAGCTATCAAAACTTACTAAGTTTTTATTTCAATTTTATTGTTAAAAATAATTCATAAATGAAATAAAATAAATTACTATTTATTATTTAACAAATTAAAATTATTCTATAAATAGACTTTTTAAACTATTATACAATGACAAACTATTTTTTTAATTTATAAATTAATATAATTACTATTAAAACTAATAATTTTAACAAAATCTTTAGTTTTTTTTTTTTTTAACTTTTTAACATAAAGCAGGTTCGAAACCTTGCCTAACGAAGCCTCTAAGATCAAGTGCTAACAAAATCTTTAGTTATTTTTATATTTAGGCAAAAAAATATTTTTTTAAATTTTCTTTATTTTATTTCAAATTTAAATTTTTAATTTTTAATTTAAAATATCATATTTTTTACTATTGAATCATTAACAAAATCTTTAATAATAATAACTAAAGTCTTAGTTTCGGCGCTAAATCAGATGTGACGGTGACGGGAGTGAGGGCAGTGATTCAGCGTGGGAAGGAATATCTGTACTTACATTGAAGATGCGATATCAGAGCATCAGTCAGCGAGTCAGATGATCAATTAGGCTCTGTATGATGAAAAATCGATCCCTGGTGGGACCGAAGGCCGGATTTTCCGGTAGTTCGTGGCGGAGAGTGTTGGTGACGCGATGTCAGGGAGCGTTACATTGGAGGGAGAATCGATGTTCTTTTGTGGGGTCGGAGATGATCGAGTCCCATGTTAGACTGTTTGACTGTGGGGGGAGAACCGGAGAAGAGCATTGAGGGGTGACGGCGCGTGTGGTTTATTACGGGTGAATAATTGTGATGGGGGAATGGGCCTAAAGGACATCGGTGGTCGTGCGGTGGTAACTTTGAAAAAGGTAGGAAAATGCCGAAATGGTGGAGGACAAGGAGAAATGTCAGATTTACCGACACAAACACGTGCCACCGTCTCGCGTGGTGAATCCCTCCCCCACTGTTAAACCCAGTTTAGTTCGGGTAAATACCTACTCTTTAATCTTCCACCTTAATGTATTTTTGGTACTTTTAACTTCTTATATATAAAAATTTTAAAAAAATAACTTTTATTTAATATTTTATTAATTGATTATTAATTTTATTAATTGATTATTAATATTTTATTATAAAAAATATTAAATTTAAATTTAATTTTATTTGTTAATTTCATTAATGGAATGTTAATAATCAATTAATAAAATTAATAATCAATTAACAGAGTTAATAATCAATTAATAAAATTAACAATTAGTTAACAACACTAACAATCAGTTAACAAAACTAACAAAACTAACAAAACATCATAAGTTGACATTAAGTAATGGTTATTTTCTTCAATCCATATAAATAAAGAGTTAAAAATATTATAATATAAGTAATTAATTAAAATTTATAAATTTATTAAAGCAAAAGATAAAATAAGCTTTCGCCTTTAGTTATGATCCTTACAGCGTCACGATTCCAATACCAGTGTTGGTACTACTAATAATATCGGAACAGCATGCTTAAAAAGATAAATCTTGTTGAAAATGCCAGGTTTAATCTATGAATGATTGACCCTTTTTGCCGTTAGATGAATAGAAGTGATGATTTAAGTTAAGTTGGGAACAAATCAGGTGGAGGATTATATACCTGTGTAAGTATGTATAAATGGAAGTGTGTCGAACGTGTAAAGGTTAAAGTCTTAAACAATAATGACATGTCACTCTAAATTAAAGAAATTTAATTTTTTTTCAAGTATAATTTTAATTTTAAATTTAATAAATAGAGATATAGATATTACAAAATATTTTTGTGAAATTTAACCCGAGTTAAAAAAAAAAAAAAAAAACTTTTCCCCTCTAATTTTCTTAGTAAAATAAAATAAACTTCTTTTCCCCCTCATCTTTATTTTTCTCAAAACCAAACACATACCCCTTAATCTCTAAATTTTCAACCATTTGACAGGCTTATTTAATTTGCTTTCTTACTTGCCACTGCTTTGCTAATGTAATGGACATTGCTTTTGTTTAATGTTAATTTTTTTTATCTTAATTTCATAATAAAATACAATTCTTTTTCATCTCTTACTCAAACCCTATCTTCATACTATACAATTCAAATTCAAAATCTTTTATTTTTAATAAAAAAATTACCATCAAATTATTTACATCAATAATTTTTATTTAAAGAAATCCGTGTGGCCTAAATGGCCACTTAACCATTGGTTAAAGGGCATCTTACTTTGGGTGTGGAGTTCAATCATCATCCTTTCCCATTGCTGCCCAAAAGGGCAATCGGTGGATTGCACTATTGTTCAAGTTCAATACATCTCATTAACAATTCTAACCTTACTAATATCTAACCATTGCCTTTGCCAAAAAAAAAAATTTTTTTATTTAATGTTTAATTACTCTGGAGAAAGTTGTCTGTTTGTGATAGGGCAGGGTGTCCACCAAGCCTGATTTCAGGCCCATTTTTCTCTAAAGTTCACTGGGCCTTTTAGGAGGGCATATAGAGTTCATAGTATTGGGTGGGTAGCTCCACAATGATATAGTATTCACACTTTGCTCTTACTCCTTCTCAGCCCATAAACCCTCGTATGGAATTTTGGATAAGGTAATGATGACTCTGTTTGTGCCATATGATGGGTTATAAAAAAAAATTTTAATTTTTTTATATTTTTATTATTTTAAAATTAAAATTTAAAATTTTTAATTTAAAATGGTAAATACTTAATCACTTGAAATATCACCAAGTGGTAAGCATGATCTTCCAGAGCCACAGAAAATGAAATACACAAGTTCTTGAGGATTTAAAACTTGTTGGCTCGGCTACAATATATGAACCTGGGGCAGATATTGTCTCTCCCTTCTCCATCATTAGGTGGTTGGTGTTTTTAATTTGACAAAGTCTAAAGTTGATTACAACTACTATACTATTTTATTTCAGTTCAACTTCAATTTTGATTTCTGATCTGATTACTAGACCATAAAAAATTCTGGTTTGACTTAACACTAGTTACCAAAACCCCAGGAGTGGTATTCTAAAAGCACAGTTTAATAGTATAATAAATATATCTTTTTATAATTAATTAATATAAATAATTATAAAAATTAACATATATTTTAATATTATTAATATGTAAATGACCTTTATCAATTAATTGATTAAATTAAAATTAATATTTACATTTTTAATAAAAATTAATTACAAAAAATATATTTATTATATCATTAATTTGTACCACAAGATAGAAAAACCCTAATTTTATTTTTTGAGTTATTTCATAAATTAAAATAAAAAGTTACGGTATGACCATCTCTTCAACTAAATTCCTCCATCTATAATTAATTAATGTTTAAAGTTAAAAATTCTTAACCAGTTATATTACCCCTTTGTATGCTGCCGAGCATATATTAGAAAGTATTTGATCCATTATTAATTTGGTCTAAACTATATCGAGCAAGAAAAAACTGATGGAAATACTATAATATTTTGGAAATTAAAAATAGGAAATAATGTTTCATGTTTCTAGACTTTTATTAATCTTGTTGCGGTGAGTGGTGCAACGGTGGTGTTCATTGGAGGGGAGCAGATGCACGGCGGGTAAATGAGTGGGTTTTTTTTTACACTTAAAATAGTTAATATTATATATATATTTTTTAAGTTTAAATACCTATTATATTTTTATATTATATTTTTTATATTTTAAGAAGAAGTATAATAATTTATTAATATAAAAAATAAAATATTAATAATTAAAAATATGTTAATAATCTAAATAACTCAACAATTGTCTTTTTTTTTATTAAAAATAAAAAATAAAAAATTTAAAATACATGATATACAAATAAAATAAATAAAAAAAAATAAACTCATCGTACAACTAAAAAAAATGACAATAACATTACTTCATGTCAATCCTCAGAAATAGTCAAAGCTAATGCTGATTAGTTTTCTTAAATGATTTCTTAAATATTTTTTTTTTAACAATTTGTAATTATTTACAGAATTAATTGAGAGAAAAGAGAAAGAAGTTTTATAGAGATCAGACATGTAACTCACTACAAATGAACAGTTTTATCTTAGAGTTCAATACTACTCAACTGGAGTCGCCGTTCGATTCATTAAATAATTAAGCACTAAAACTCCAACTGGATTTATGATCATTGACAGGTTATTCCTAGATATTAGTTGGTTGAAAAGAAGCCATCATCCCTTACCTCTTGGCCGACGTATGCGCTTACGTCTATTACGGAGTTGCTGCAAAATTAAAGTCGGTATTCGCTTAACTTATATGCAAATTTACTTTATGGCAAAAGACTCCTAACAATTTTGAAGTTTGTAGTTTTATCCCCAACTATTTGGTAATTTAATTGCATGCTTTATAAATTATAAATTTTTATTTATTTTTTTCACCTTAATTAGATTGCATAATAAAAAATAACCATCTCTCATCTCTTAATCCATCATAACTACATGTCATGCAATTTAAATTAAGTATCTTTTACTTCAACTAAAATAAAAGAGGTAACTAGTGAATTACTTAAATTATTAACATGAATTTTAAACTTTTTACTATTACTAAGAGCAATGAAATTACCATTCCATTAGATTACTATTAGTTATTGCAAAATTCTAAAGAACATTGTTGCTAAAACCTATAATTTTAGCATAAAATATGCATGGATAGAAATTTGTTATCAGCATAAAGTTTGCCACTTAATCCTTGAAATTATGATTTCAAATACCATTTAAATTAAGTTTTATTTTATTGATACATTTGATAATAAATTATATTAATATAACATAGAGTGATT